CAGTGAGATTTTAAAATCCACATACACAAAGACTAAAAGTTAGAACAAGCAGTGGATTGGAGAAAGCTGTTAGGTAAGATGTAGAAAGACACAGTCTGACTGCAGGCTGAGGTGTACAAAGAGATCCTATAAAGGCATAAAACAGCTAAAGAGAGATTAATGTGTCAGAAATAAGAACCCTGTTTTAACAATACTGTGTATAAAAGGAGGCAATCGCTAGCAAACCAGGGCATATGTTCACCCTACAATTAGGATGAAAACAGTACAGAGTGGGAACCGAGTGTGAATAGAGACCTGGAATGGAGGTTGGTGGGGGAGATGGTGCATATACTGAAGAGTTGTTTTATCCTTGATCTCTTTCATTATTCAAACAGGAGCTGACTTGTCAGATCCCAATGCAGGGATATCCAGAATTGGCATTTTGTGGGTATCTCCATGGTTCAAGGAGGTTAGTTCCCAGTTTATCTGGTGGTTTTTAGTGTGGCAGCGATGAAATAGTTGGGTGTCTAGAACTAAAACAGGAAAGCTAACAGACTCAGAATATAAAATATGGTTTGAGTTTATCTTCAAGGAAAAATCAGCTAGTTGTATTTATTATAATCCTTTCTTCAAAAAAGTATTATGGCTTTCTATTATGTATTAGATTCATCAATAATGAATAAAAGACAAACTTTGTTTGAAAAGGTAAATTTCAGTTATTAATAGTTTTTCATTTATTGGACCACTTCATTCTCTGGCAAAGGTGAAAAGTAAGTTTTTATTCCTTGGTTGTCATTATTATAGCTGCCAATTACATGGCATTGGAGCAGTAGAAATGTGGCTAGTGCAGCCAGAAGTGGTGGTGCATACCTGCAATCCCAGCTGCTCGGGATCTGGAGGAGGTGAAGGAGGTTTGAGGCCAGCCCGGGTAGTTAGTGTGAGACCCTATCTCAAAAACAAAATAAAAACAAAAAGGCTGAGAGGGTAGCTCTCAGGTATTTAGTGTGAGACCCTGGGTTCAATCCCCAATCCCATGATAATGCATATTATGAATGCGTAATGCAAATTCAGATTTGCAGGATTTTAAAACTTAGTGTTAAAAAAAGAATGTGAAATATCTCATAAGTTTTTACATTGATTACTTATTGAAATGGTAGCATTTTTGCTGTATTAAGTAAAAATATGTCATTAAATTGAATTGCTTTTTATCTTTTTAATTTGATTATTAGAAAATTTAAAATTATACTTGTGGCTTGCATCATATTTCTTTTGGACAGCACTATTCTAGACTGTAAATGCACTTTAAAAATATTTTATGTCATTTAAAAAATAGTCATATTTCCAAGAGCGTAGTGCACCCTCAGGAATGTTTCTTCTTAATTTCTCATTACTTTATCATAGTTTCTATTACTTTATGTTTTTAGGTTTCATACTTTTTCCCTAATGATTATGTCTTAGAGCCATAAGACAGTAGAAAAGTTAGTAGACAAGAGTTTTCAATCTGTTCTAGCACCCTTAATTTAAAAGTGAAGGTACTGAAGATTATAAATGTATATACTTTACTAAAGGCTACAAAGTTGCTTAATTGGAGAAGCCCCACTCCCTAAGCAAGCACTAGATCACTGGGCTCTGTATCCAGTGCTTGTTTTTTGAAATAGGGCCTTGAACAATTTATGTAGCCCAGCCTGGCTTTGAACTCATGCTTCTTCTGCCTCAGCCTCCTGAGTGATGATACTACAGCTATGTACCACTATACCCAGCTTCTCCTTTGGAATAACTTATTTTCCTTTGATCCTTAAATACTGCCATATAAATTGGATTGATTTTGTTCCTCACGGGAATTTTGGCAATGGTTGGAGACATTTTATTGTCATAACTAGACTAGATGCTATTAGCTCTAGTTGATAGAGGTCAGGTAAATACCCAACAGTGTACAGGACCAACTCCTGTAACACAGAGTTATCTGGCACAAAATGTTAATAATGATGAAATGGAGAAACCTTCCTGCACACATTACTTCTTTATTCTTAAAAACGGTATTAGTGACACAAGCACATTAACTGGTATGTAGACAGCACTGTGGTTCATCCCAGGCAAACCCTAGCATTTGTAGAGTTGGAGATGCAGATGCAGATAGACACCAGGACCAACTGGGCTGCTGAGCCATTAATTTCAAGGAGTGCTATTAGTGTCAAGGCACTGTGAGCAAGCACAAGACAACTGCTGAATGGGCTGGCTGCCAGCTGAAGGTTTAACTTCTGTAGTCAGAGTTCGTTCCTTTGAGTCTCTGTTTCCCCATTGGTAAAATGGAGACAGTTCAGGTGGGCAGAGCACAAATGTAGAGGCTAACTGGTTGGGGAGAAGCAAGATGCTGGTAGAGAGAGGGGTGGTGTTCATAGTGAGAGGGTTTTATGTGGTGAGCAAATTTGCTGCTTATCTAGCAATGTATGTTTGGCTGCCTAATTTGTTTTTGCTTCCATAAAGTACATTGCCTAGGTAATTTTTGCCAGAATTATTTAAGGGAAAATAGTTTAAAAATAGGAGGTGAAGGGCCAGGTGTGATGGTATACACAACTGTAATCCTAGCTACTCGAGAGGTGGAGAGCAGGATCTTGGTTCAAGTCCAGCCCAGGCAAAAATTTAGCTAGACCCCCACCTCAACCAATGAGCCAAGCATGGTTGTAAATACCTGTTGTCCAAGCTACAGAGGAGGTGTAGGTAGGAGAATTATGGTCCACAACCTGCACTAGGCAAAAATATGGAACCCTATTTGAAAAATAACGGAAGCAAAAAGGGCTAGGGATATGACTCAAGTGATAGAGTACCTGCCTCGTAAGTGAAACACAGTAAGTTCAAACCCCAGTACTGGAAATAAATAAACAAACCCCAGTCCTGAAAATAAATAAATAAATAAAATAAAAATAGGAGGTGAGAAGTCCCTGATTAAGAGGCAGATGCACACCTGAATATTAGTGTGACTGACGAGTATTTTGTTTGGATTGTCATTTGTTTTGTTCCCAGGCAGAGGTGATTTTTGAACAGATTATTTTCTTTCTTTATCTGAGGGGCTCCACTTAGCAGAAGTAAACTAGATTTGGGTCACAGCCTTGTACCAAGGAAGAATAGAGTGCTGTTAGATCTCTAAACCTTCTGAATGTCTTGACTGCTCCAAGAATAGTGGTTCTTGTAATTTAGCCAACAGGATGAGATGATATAAATTCAGTTGTTCACAGAAATAACCACATGATAGATAAACATCTATCAAGGGGGAATAGCAAATTTCTTTTCAGGGAGACTATATTTCCTGTGACTATAATGATTCAGATGTACATATGCTTACAGCAAAAGAATAACTGATATTTCTACCAGTTTTTGAAGAGCGTTGGAAAAGCTAGACTAGTAGAGATACATTTTTTTCAAAATCTGTGAGTTTCTTAGGTAAAAGCAATTTTTTCATGATAAATGAGATTTATCAACCTGCCAGCTATGTTATACACTGAAAATAGATTTACTTATATACTATGAATTTGCTGTTTGTCTAAGATAAAACAAATAATCTCAACTTCAGTATAAGGACAGGTAAAACAGATGGATGAAAGTTAGTGACCAAGCAGGGACATCAGTGGTCCCTTGCAAACTGTAACGACTAGATTTTTATCTAGCAGTTGATAAAGCTCATTTTATGTTATAATTTATATGTAACCTTAAATCTTATGTATTTTCAGGAAGTATTAACTTAAATAATATCATGTCAGGAAAAATAAGGCTGAGCTTCAGGGGAGGCATTTTAATATTAGATTCTTTGCTAAGAGCTGTTAATTTTATTCAAGTCCTTGGCCTCTTGGACTTAATTTTTATTCTTAAATTGAGGGGACTGGATGAAAATTTGCTATATGTTATTAAGAAACCCCTTAGTTATAAAATTATTTTAGTAAGGTGGGGGAAAAGAGTGGTCATCTGGTCTCCTTAGTCATGGATATTTTGTGTCACGTGAATAAAATGGGGCTATTTATGGAATTTCTGGTGATTAGAAATTAGAAGTCAAAAAAATTTGATTCCTGGAAGCACGGGCCTATTATCCCAGCACTTGGGAGGCCAAGCAGAAGGATAAGTCTGGGCTATATAGTGAGACCCTTGATTAATTTTTTTTCTTTTGAGAGCATTGATTTAAGGAGATTAATTCCTTTTTCATAGAAGAAGGTAATGTCAACTTTGCAGGTGATGTCTTTCAGTTTGACTGCTTGAATGTGTTGTTTTAACTTAACATTCTTTAAAAAAATTAAAGTCTGACAATTTGCTGAGCATTTATTTTGACCATAATGGTATATCACTTGTGGTTATTAAGATATATTATAGTTTTGTGAGTTGGCTACCATCCTGAAAGAAATACCTGTTAAATTCTTTCTGGGTTGTAACACTAATAATTGCATTATATATACATGTGAAATTCTTGACATTTTTAAAAATCATTTCAACCACTTTAAATTTATAGTAACAATCATTATTTTTAAGTGCTAATACCAATTAAGGAGAATGATAATGAAGTGTCATTATCATTCTTCACATGTATATTTTATTTTATAGAGTATAATCTAATAAATTTTGTTTACTTTAGACTAATTTAGAATATGGTGTCCTGGACAAAGCTTGGGGTTTATGTGCTCTTTAAAGAAATGAACTGAGAAACTCAGACCTCTTGTCTAGCACTCTGGAAGTCCTCAGTGTGATGACTACCATTTCAGACAGTGGAGGGGGGATAAGAAAGAAATAAATTAATCAGTCAAGACATTAGAAAAAAAATGACCAAAAGGGGAAAAAACCTCAGTAAAAGAAGAGGCAGACATCTGGAGAAATGGCCTAGCAGTCTTTAGAGATGAAGATGACTTATTTGAAATAGAGGCCATATGTTTAATAGCTTCATTTCTGTCCTCATACCTTCGGAATAAAGGGTTGTTATGGTTAAATCAATAAAATGTTCTGTTATTCTCTTAATAGTATTCTTATCTGACTTTCCCCTCCAGATCATCGTACAGACTATTGTGAGGAAAAGAGAGTCTTAAATGGTAAGTAATATCTATTTCCATGTATGTATATATATATATAATGTATATATATAATCTATATCTGTATCTATATATATTTTTTATATATATATATAAAATGAATCATACTCACATGCTTGTATATAGTATTGCTTTAAAAAATTGTCTGGAGTATTTAATTTTTTTTAATGTAAAAGATGTCTTTACTTTCCCAAACTTAGAGGACTTGATAGCACTTTATGGGCTCCTTATTCCAGCTATTACTCTTATAATAGTTGCTACTATGACATCTGTGAACACATGTTCATCTGCCTAAATCCTAAATAATTGTAGAAATTGAAACAAGTCTGAACAAGTCCACTCCCTCAGGCCTGTAAACTTACCTCTAGTGTTTGTACACAAATGCAAGTACTTATTAACCTTCTTTTTCTGGGCTGAGCATTTCTGGTATCCATAGTCATTTTAGTATGGTTTGAATTATGATTGACACCACACCACACCAGTGTGGTAGTTACTTCTGACTCATGAAATGCACGGCGTTCCTCTGATTGAACTATACTGTTGTACATTTAGAAATAGGGCGTTTTCCTTCCTGTTTGCAAAAGAAAACTATAGAAATGTCGCTAACAAGCTATATTGCTTTTTACCTTTTCTTTTTTGACAGGAAAATAGTATGTATTATGGACTAATTTATGCAATCTGTGATATCTGAAGTTGTTATCTAATGGTATATACTGAGTTAAATGAGGACTGATTTAGGTTTCAGCTGATGATTGACTCTTCTGTAATACTAGAGATACCATTGCTTAGAGACTAAAGACTAATGGACCAGGCATTTTCTTTCCCACCACATGTGACTTCCAGAACTTTTAGTTTCCTGTTACCCTCCTTTGGATGCACCACATTTAACTACTATCTCAATTAAAGGTAGCATTCAAATGAAAATAGCATCTACTTGTAATCTGTGCAGAATTGAAATACATGTCTGTATTTATTAGCTACTGCTAAGATTTGACTCATCTTAGTTGTGTGTGGTTTGGCTACATATTTGCAAGTGTGATCTGTATGCCTTCTCTGTCATTATTGCAGTAGCTGCTTAAAATACTGAGTGGGATAGACTACTTTTGTATTCTGGTAGGGACCTGATCCCTAAGCTGATGTCATTCAATCACCCTGCACTTTGGGGAGGGAGAGCATTCATTCAGCCCACCTTACCTTACTTAGTTATTGTACTCCATCTCACATTTACCTTGTAGCTTTTTCACCTGATCCAGAAGGATGTCGCATAAGGTTTATTCTTTTTCTTTTTTACAAACGTTGACATAAATGCACATTTCACGGCATATGACATTATTCTGTTCTAATAACTTATATTTTTATAGTACTCTGTAGCTTTTCTAAAAAATGCCTGGAAATTGTCTCATTTGTGCCCTCATGAGAGTTGAGGAAAAGGAAGCAGTAGTTTGAATTGGATCACAGTGCTGATAGTAAGCTTAAATACAGATTTTTGGTCATACAAGTCATATTAGATCAAATTGATTTATAATTAATGAATTCTCTTGATTTTTTTTCCTCCAGAGAATTTTTAGATTATGATGTATGTGTTACGATTTTTGTTTTTCATGCAGTGTTAGGATTTGAGCTCAGGGCCTCGTGCTTGCTAAGCAGGAGTTTTACCACTTAAGTGACTCCACCAGCCCTTTTTGCATTGGTTATTTTTAGATAGTGTCTTGAGAGCTATTTGTCTGGGCTGGCCTCGAATCATGATCCTCTTGATGTCTGCCTCCCGAGTAGCTAGGATTGCAGGTATGAGCCACCAGCACCTGACTGATATATGTGTTTTTTGTTTATATACCTAAGATACTTCTAAAATGGTAATGACAAGCTTTTAATAAAATATATTTCAGCACTCTCGAATAATTTAGTAACACTACCTTTTGCCATTTTAGAAAATTGTCATTCTGGCTTTTGTTATACCTGTAGTTTTATAGTAAAAATTCTTTTAAGGGTCTACTGCTAATTAGTTCACAACTTTGACTTTTTGTCACATCTCTGATGCTTTCTTTGTTTATCTGAAAATTTAGTGTGCTCTACAGAGTTAAATGGGAAGAGATGCAAACTAAACAAGCAAAGCATAAGCTTGAGCCTTACCATTTGCCTTATTCTGAAAAATACGCCCAGTTTATATCTATGATTTCACCTAAGCTTTTGTTTAAGCACAGGGTTCTGTGGCTGAAAAGAACCTTGAAAGCTTCTAAGCTAGCTTGTCTCTAAGGTAGTGCCAACTTTAACTACAGAATTATTGACCTTCTAATAGAGAACGCAAAAAACTTACCAGAGACCAATCATTAATTTTTTCTTGCGTATTTTGAGCAATAGTCATTTAATTGATGCATTTATTTTCACAAGTCATTTAGCAGTGGTACTTTTTTCCCCCAAAACTGAATCTTACAGGTACATACAATGACTGCTGTCAAGTGTTTCCTCTCAGAAAGTGTTTAATGTTTACAGAAACTTCAGTTCTTCCATGTCTCAAAGCTTTCTGAAGTGTTTTTGAAAACCACAGCTTCAGTGGGCCTTTAAAAGGCTGTGTTGATGTGGGCCCACAAGAATGAGAAAAGTGGAAAAAGAATATCACATGTTGCTGATGTAGAAGAGCAACTGGAACTGTCAAATACTGTGATAAAATGTGCAAATTAGCCAGGTGTGGTAGCATGCAGGCATAATCCCTCCTACTCAGGAGGTAGAGATAGGAACATCATAGTTTGAGATCAGCCCAGGAAAAAGTTAGCAAAAGACCCTATCAAAAACAAGGTGGAGCATGGTGGTGCATTTCTGTAATCCCAGCTACTAAGCAGGCAGAGGTGAGAGGATTGCGTTTCAAGACTGGCACAAGCAAAAGCATGAGACTCTGTCTGGAAAACAAACTAAAAAAAGCAAAAGACTAGGGCATGGCTCAAGTGATAGGGTACCTGCCTAGCAAGCACAAGGCCCTGAGTTCAGTTCCTAGTACCACCAAAACAGCAAAAAAAAAAGTAAATTAGAACACCCACTTGGAAAAAACTGTTTAGCAGTATTTACTAAAGCTAATAAACACATACCCTGTACCCATCAGAAATGTAGATGTGTGTTCTTTAAGAATGTGGGTGTGTACAAGAATAATGGCAGTGTAATAGCCTGAAACTGGAAACAACTCTAATGTCTGTCAGTAGGAGAATGAATAATCTGTAGTAAGTTTATGCACTGTGGTACTATTCTGTTCTAAAAAGAAACAAACTTGTGATGCAAACACATGGCCAAAACTCTGAGAAAGCTCTTAATTTGTTATTGTCAACCATCCTTATTTTGAAGAGAACCATAATGTCTCTAATGTGGATGAAAAAGGCACAGCAAAAGAGATGACATTTTGCAGTTCTTTTTGTATGAAGGTCAAATGCAGGCAAAAAGTAGTCATTGTGTGCTATTAATATATGTTAATTAAAAAATAAAAACACTAATGATATTAAAAGTCATAATAGTAATTACCCTCAGAAGAGAGGAAATGATTAGAAAAGACATGATGGGGGCACTGGGTACATGAGTATATTTCAATTTATGAAAATTCATTGAGTAGTACATTTATAACTTATGTTCTTTTTCATATGTGTATAATTAGAAGTTAACTGAAAAGGCAAAACTGTGCAGATAAATGATTGCTATTTGTGTTTCTTTGTGCAGGCATGCTTCCTGAGATCCAAGTGACAGATAAACTTGCCACAGAAAATCCTAGTTCTCCAAGGTATACACCTTGCTTTACAGTTTTAAAGCTATGCCGCTTCTACACAAAAATACAAACATTTAAAGAAAGAAAGTAGCTCTGGGTTTGATTTACTGTCATTGTTAATCAAACTTTTGGCACAGGAATTGTAGTGTCTCATTTACCAAATGTTGGGCAATGAAATATTCTGTAATTGTGATTTTTAATGTAACCAAAGTTTTATCCATTTTTAACATCAACACTTAAAAGTTATTTTAAAATATTTTTCTAATTATTAAAAGTATACATTTGTGGTAGAAAAGTTGGAAAGTATAAACAAATGCAAAAACAAAATCATTTCTAATCCACCAACCTTAGCATTTTGATTTATCCCTTCCAGTTTGGTTCCTATAATACCTATTTCCATATGATTCTATTTTATAATATTGTATTAACGTGTATTCTGAGTAATTTCCTATATCACTAAATATTCTATGAAAACATTTTTTGTTTGTGACTGTACCATAGTTCATTTAACTATTCAAAGTTTTGTTTGTCTAGTTTTAAAATTAATTTTTAGTGGAAACTCTTTCAAAATGTGTGGGACACTAATTGTCTTAAACAGTTGACACTAAATTAAGCAATACAGATAGGTTTTTGTTAATGACACTTCAAAATACTCAAGGTTATATGTGTATTAGAGAAATACATTTCTCCTTGTAAATTCCAGACACTTCATGATTTAATATATATTAATGTATGTTATTGTCAATAATAATTATTCATTTTTTTCTTAATGTTTTACAGTTATGACTGGTTCCAAACAGACTCTTTAGTCACGATTGTCATATATACCAAACAAAAGGTAAGCATGTCTTTAAAACTCAGAAGAAAAAAAGTAAATATTCAGTAAATGTTAGTCATGCACCAGGTTATTTTCTAAGCACTTATCTTATTTTCTCCTCACACAAAGACTATGATGTATACAATATTATCCCTGGTTTATAGACAAAGAAATTGAGAAAGATTAATTTATGCATAGTCACACAGTATGTGGCAGTCTAGTATTTGGAGCCTAGGCAGTCTAGTTCCTGCCTGGCAAATAATGCTCTTACTAACCATGATGTAGCCTCTTAAAAAACTAGACTAGAAACTGTTTGATGTAATTTTCTATGATTTTTTTAAAGGATAAATGACAAAAGTGTGTTAACTTCATTGTAAGAATAAGTTTCCTGAACATAAATTGGGATTAGAGAGATTGTACCTCTGTGCCTTAATATGTTTAAACCATTAATGGTGTTTAGATGCCCTTTGAAGCTAATGTTAGAGAGCAAATTCATTTACTAAGTCTTTATGTAACACCTCTTTTATATGAGGAGCTCTGTCTTAGTTGTCATGGACTTAATCTAAAAATGGGCCAGATCCATAGAGAACTGGCCTTTGTGGGGCTTTCCTTCCAAGTGGACAATTGGATAAATAAGCAGACAACTCATCTCCAAGAACATTATCCAGCAGCTATTGAGGTTCCGCGTTAGAAGATCCAGATAGACTTAACAACGAGTTCTGATAGCTAGGGATTTTAGAGCATTCATACTACTTCTGTGGTAGCAGAATGTTTGAGCCATGGTTCCTCTGACTTTCACAGCATGATTTGATGTTCTGCAGGGGTGAGCAGCTTCTGCATGCTGCAGCCAGCAGGGCCAGAGACTGTTTGTCCACTTCCCACTCCCTCTCACTTTGTCTTCTCGTCATAGAGTCCAAGCTCAAGACAACAGGGCTGAGGGAATGTGTGGGTCCACTCCTACTAGTAATATCAGTTGAGCATAGATAGTGGATGGCTATGGGAAGGGGAAAGGTTTCTACATGAATAATGTATTCAGTATTGTGGTATAAATGATAGATACCAAAATTCCTTCCATCAAGGCTATGTAGACATTGAAGATGTTTAAGAATTTGCTAGTGAATTAATTTTTTTTGATAAGGTGAGCTCAAGAGAGGTTCAGCCCTTTGCCTACCATCACACAGTAGTTCAAAATGAATGCAAATATCTTGATTTCTAGTCTGCTTCTAATTTTGCCATTTTTCATAGAGAACAAATATTGAGCAACTACTATTTGCCAAGCAGTGCTCTAAAGATGGTCTATAAAACCTATGCCTTAGAATGTACTGAGTACGGTAGATATTAAACAGAGACAAACATGTAACTAAAATTGTGATATTTGTTTTGAAGGAAAAAAACTGGGTTGTATGAGAAAGAAAATAAACATAAGTATATTTATTTGGCCTGGAATCTATAAAGTAGTGAGAACTTCCAAAGACCACTTTATATATAGTTGCAGAGTTTGGAGGGGAAATTTTACTTTTTAATCTTTCTACTTTTGCTTTTCTGTTTTAGGCTATCAGTTTAGACTCAGTAATAGTTGATCATCAGGATGGATCCTTTAGAGCAGAAACAATTGTGAAGGATTGTTCATATCTTATACATCTTGGTGAGTACCTTTTTTTTTTTTAACTGATGGGAATAGCTCATTTCCTTTATGGCAAAAACTTAGTCTATGGTGTAGGTGACCATAATATTTTCTCTACCATTGTCATTTTTGATCAATCTTTTTTGGGTTTTCCTTTATACTAATAGAAGTACTAGCAAATGGCAGTTTGAGCTCACCTTTCCAGGCTTAAGCAAGTAAACTGATTCTGATGTGATCAGAATTAATATTTGTTGGTCCAGCTCTTGTTCTTGACACTTACAAGTAACTCTTCAACCGTCTGTTGGCCACATGCACCTACTGAGCATTTCTCACTGGGAGAGCAGTTCCACTGGCCAGCTCCTTGCCTGTTATGCCTCTAGAGGTCAGAGGTTGCAACAAAATAGCCTGGACTGCAAGTTTGTATTGTATTCCTCAGCTGCCTGTCTCTTCAGGACAAAACAGCAGCCTTACAATTCATTTCTCAGTTTTGAGAGATTACAGGTCTATCAGAAGAGAAGTCAAGATGAAAATCTGGAATCAGATATCAAATTGTTAATCTGTTTCTCAGCCGTAATGAACTTGACTGTAGGATTTTGTTGTTTTTTTCCTTTTATGACACAATGGTGATAGTTTTTCTAGTTAGATGGTAGAAATGACACCAAAACCCCAAAATAATAAGAAGAAGACTATATAGAAACTGTTTTAAACATGCATTCTTTATAAAAAATTCAGGTATTTTTGTAAAACATAAACTGAAATTCTCTACCTCAGCTGACTTGGGATTCTACCTTTAGTTCTGAATTTGGTCAGAGTCAATAAATTTTGTTTTCTTTATTTCCTCCCATTCATTAAATCAACCAACCTCAACCTTTAAAACTTTTGTTTAGAAATATATCTTACCCTATGGAAAGTTATGTTTTCTTCTTCTTTTTTTTTTTGTTAGCATTGGATCTAATTGCCTCTTAATGACATTAGAAATGTGTACATTAGTCATTAGTACTGTCAAAATTTCTTTTTAAGTAAAATCTCTGTGCCAGCACTATTATATTTAAAAAATACTTTGTATGACTAATTTTGTTCACACTATAGCTGACAGTATATCTGATTGCTACCCAAGCTGTAACTGGAGCTGTCCCAAAAGCAGCTGTGGCAGGAAGTTCCCACAGGGGAGTGCCCCCAAACTGTCCCAACATAAGGCTGGCTGGGACTCCAGAGAAGAGATCATTAATTGCCAGGGAGGTCTAGGGAAACTTAGCACAAAGGAAGGTGTAGCATATCATGCAGGCTGACAGCGAGAAAAAGGGATGTTTTAGGTAGTGCGTTTGCAGTGAGCGGTCAGGTTGTAGAGTTTACATAAGGATTTGAGGAGTTTGGCTCAGGGATGTGGCTACTTTCTTTAACAGTGTTTTGGATGACACACTTTTTTAATGCCTGGAAATATCTGTTAATCTCTCTCTCTATATATATAGATATTAATATAATAATATATATATATAATTCTTTTTTTTTTCATAGCTTCTGCAGAGGAAAACATGTACCTGGCTGTGTCACACAGCAGTCAATGTACTTTGTATTTCTCTGTCAGGACAGAAAAAGTGGGAGAAACGGTGGTGGGACCCTACTTTAGTGCACATGAAAAACCAAACAAAAATTCCAATAGAAAATAGGAGACCTCTCTCACATGCTGGTAGTACACACACCCATAACCCTAGCTAGTTGGGAGGCTAAGATTGGGAGGATCATGTTCAAGGCCAGCTGAGGCAAATAGTTTGAGAAACCCCGTCTCCAAAATAACCAGAGCAAAGTGGACTGGAGAGGGTGCTCAGGCAGTAAAGTACCTACTTTGCAAGTCTGAAGCCCTGAGTTCAAACCTAATCCCAATTTTAAAAAAAGCCGAAAGACAAAGCCAATGTGTGTGTGTAACTCTTGGTTGCCAGTATTGCATTGGAAAGATTGAAATAATGCAAAATTAAAAGTGCCAGATTGTGTTTTCCCTTTCTAGAATGTAAGATCCATAGGGGGCAGAGATTTTTCTCTCCTATGAACCGTTCTGTCCATAATACATGAAAAATGTTGGTTACACAGATTCTCAAGGTTTTTTTTTGTTGTTGTTGTTGTTCAGTAACAATGGATATTTACCTTTAGAGAAAACAATAGGAAAACTAAGCTGTACTCAGGTCTGAGCTGTATTCACATAGCACATGACACACTGGAGCATGTATGTGTGAGATGCTGGCTTCCTTTCTAGCCTACCTGCTTCTTGCTTTATAGAATATCATTTTGAGCTAGTGTGGGTTGTCATCTTATAGGCAGTTTAGTATTTTCTCCTCAGTTAATAGGGAGAGAAATGAAAAAATGGGAAAATATATATTTAAATAATTTGACTTACAACTTTGTATATATTATCTTTTAATTTCAGAATACGTTTTCATAGTCTTGTGTTTGAAATAGTGCATTAAAATGATATTATATGGTGTTCGTAAACTGTATGAATTGATTTCAGATTTTAACTAAATGCATTTCTTTTTTTTTTTTTTTTTTTTTAATCTAGGGCTAAGTCATGAGGTTCAGGAAGATTTTTCTGGTAAGTTACCAAAAAAAAAAAATTACGTGTATACATGCATGCATACAGGAAGAGAGAGAGACAGAGAGAGAAAAGCCTATCAGTTGTCTTCTTTTTCTTATGCATAGTTTCTTATTACAAACAAATGTATAATGCTTTCTATATAAACAAATACATTAATTTTAAATTATACTACTGATTTTTGTTTTTCCCCTTTTTTCTTTCTCCATGTTCCTTCTATCTCTTTTAATTTTTCTTTTTCCCTCTTTAAAAAAAAAATTCCTGCTAGGAACAGTGGCTCAAATCTGTAATCCTAGCTACATGGTAAGCAGAGATCAGGAGGATCACAGTTTGAGGCCAGTCCAAGCAAACAGTTCATGAGACCTCATCTCAGCCAATGACTGGGTGTGGTAGCAAGCCCGTAATGCCCAGTTGCATAGGGTGGACCATAGTCCAGGCCAGCCTAGGCGTAAAGTGAGATCAGAACATTTTGCCTGAGAAAGATTAGTTTTAAAATGAAATCTTATATTTAGTATCAATGGTACAACTGAAACCTATCTTCTTTTCAGTGCGAGTTGTTGAGAATGTGGGAAAAGTAGAGATTGTCCTTAAAAAGAGAGAGAATACTTCCTGGAAATGTCTTGGTCATCCATTGGAGAAGCATAATTCATTTATTCCAAAGAAAGATGCAGGTATGCTGTGCTGTTATGTTAATCTCATGTTAATGAAATTATTGTGCTAGTGGTAGAATTGTACCAGATTTTGGAAGCATGCTTTGGGCTTAGCTAAAAGGGTCCTTGTATCTCTCTCTGGGATGTTTGAAAGGGACATTGTATCTGTGAAGGTTCTTTTTGTTTTTATTTTTTTCATAGAGGTTAAATTTCAGATTCTTCTTCCTACTGTTTAGGTATGACAAAATCATTAGGTGATATCTTGAATGGAAAAGCCCACTTGTGCTTAGACTGTTACCCAGCATTCATTCTCTCAGGACCTTTTTTCAATAAAAGTTACGAAAACAAGTTTATGCCTTGTATGTACATCAATTTTTTTCTATTAAAGACATGTTTAATATTCTGCTCAAACAAACCTATTTTTCCATTTACTTGTAAAGGGTGGTACCATTCATTTCCATTCTTTTTTAAAAAAAACTTTCTGTCTTAGTTTAACATATGTGTAAAGAAGAATGTGTATTATAGTATAAATGCTCTATTTGATGAAATTTCACAGGTTTGAACATCTTGCATATTTTCTTTTAGAAATTGGTAGCATTTGCTGCTTGTACCAAGTGTTTGTGATTTCTCAATGATTTGCCATAATGTGTATCTGTTTCTGTTCTTCCTGCTGAGTGCCAACCTTTGTGCTCATCTTTTAACTTATGACCTTTAGTTCTTAAAAAAAAAATTGATTTTTCTTCCCTCCATGTTGTTTTTTTCCTTTCTAGAGTCTTATATTGAGCCTTCTTAAATCTTAAAAAAAAGTCATTAATTTTTCATCCCTCCATGTTGTTTCTTTCTTTCTAGACATAGTCTTATGTCAAGCCTCCTTAAGCCGTCTCTTTATCCTATCCTTTCTGTCATTTTCAATTTTGTTCTTTTGTTTTCTTTTTGGATGATTTCTTCAGTTGTTTCTTTCAGTACTTTGATTGAGTTGCTTGTTTCTACTCTGTTTGTTTGACATGGGGTCTTGATAGACATGCTTTGAGGCAGATAATCCCGGTAGACTTTGAACTTGCCAAACCCCTGCATCTACTTCCCACAGGGTTACAGGCAACAACCATACTTAGCTTCCACTCGTGTTTTTAATTTCTTAAGACTCTTTTTGTTTCTTTGTTTTAGCATCTTATTTTTACTAACTTCTCTTACCTTTTTAAGAGTTACTGATAGTGTTTTAGAGTTTTCTTTTCCCCATGCAATCTTTGTGTCCCCCGGTTTTGTTTGTTGTCATGTGTTTGTTTTGATGCCTTTCTTATCTACTCTTCCCCACCTTTTCTTCCTCCACCACCTCCTCGTTTCTTTTTTGTGATTAGATTGCTATATTAGTTTGCTAATGCACCATAAAATTCTACTACTTACTGAGAGACTTAAAAACAAATTTATTTTCTCACAGTTCTGGAGGCTAAAAGTCCAACATCAAGGTGCTTGATTTGATCTCTTCTGAGGCCTCTTTCCTTGGCTTGTGTGCATGGCTGTCTTCATCTTACATCTTCACATGGTGTTCTCACTTGCCTTTTAAAAGACCCTGTCTCCTTGTTAATTGGGATGTGTGGGAGGTAATAGTTCATTGTATAACATCTATCCAGTTCCGAGACTGCTTTACTTCTTTTTGTTTCTTTTTCTTTATTCCTTTTTTTCAGTACTGGGGTTTGAACAAAAGGCCTTGCACTTGTGCTACCACTTGAGCCACCACTTGAGCCATACCTCCAGCCCTTTTTGCTTTGGTTACTTTTTAGATAGTGTCTTGAGTTTATGCCCAGTCCTACCTGGACAGTGATCCTCCCATTTATGCTTTCCTTGTAGCTGAGATGACAGCCACTTTTATTGATTGAAATGGATCTTGAGAATTTTTTTGCCTGAACTGGCGTTGAACCAGTCCTCCCACTCTCTGTCTCCTGAGTAGCTATTATAAGAGTCATGAGGCACCATACCTGGCCTGTGTTTTACCTCCCTAGCGAGCGGACTTATAATAATTTGCCAAGATAAGCAGGTCAGTCACATAGCTGTGCTAACCAGGAGAGGATTTCAGGGGTGAGGGGCTGGTGGAGAGCAAGCATCCAAGCTTCTTAAGTGAACTTTCATCCAGAGCGTGGTTGTAGCTTCATATTGACACTGATTCCAAAGGTACTTGGTCCTGCCAACTTCTTAGTCTTTAAGGGAGTTTGTGTTAAAATGGGTTAGTTCTTGGCTTCTGCAAGTCTAGCATAGGATTCAGCTTTCTTGGGTCTGCTGAGTCAGTTATTAGTCATCTCTTTGCCTTTTGTTTCCCAGAATTTGTTACCTTCATCTTTTATTTCCATTCTCTCTGTCTTTGTTGGCTTGTGCATTAGAAAGCAACCAGGCACACATGCATGACCTATTTGCTATTACTTTAGAGTGTTCAAATAGAAACTTCATGTACTCATTTTACCATCTTTAAATATTTAAAATTAGTATAAATATTTAAAATTATTGTATGAGCTGGGGAAATCAAATTGTTTTTCCTACTATTACCACTCACCACAGAACAAAAATGTGGAGAGATTTCTCTCTACCAATAGCTAGTTCTTCATTAACACCACTGGGTGCCCTCTGATCTAACTCTGTTCTGATGCTCAGTTCCACAACACCGCCCCAACTTCAGATGCCAGTCGCAAGCCCCAGATTCTAGCCTATACTTCTGACCAACTGATTATAAATCAGTGTTCTCATTATCTCCATTTTGGGTTGAAAAACTTGCTAGGATTCCTCACAAAACTTTAAGAAACATTTATGTTTATCCCTTATTCTAAAGGTTATTACAAAGGATGCAGAGTGAATAGCCAGGTGGAAGAGATGCACATGACAAGGTTTATGAGAAGGGCATGGAGTTTCTGTGCCTTTTATGGGTGCACCACTTTCCAGGCACCTCCACCTGCTCAGTAGTGTGAAAGCTTTCCATCCTGTGCCCTGCACATTCTCACAGGCTTCATCACACCTGCATGATTGATTACATCATGGCTACTGCTGATCAACTCAGCCTTTAGCCCTTTTGGCCTCTCTGGAGGTCAGGGGATGGGGCTAAAAGTTCCAGCTCTTTAATTGCATGGCTGATTCCCTGGAAACCAGTCTCCCATCCAGAAGCCATCCAGGAGCCTACAAGAGTCACCTTCTGTCACCCAAGACATTAAAGGGGTTTAGGAATTCTGTATCAGACATACCTATCACTTAGGAAGTTATAAAGATTTTAGGAACCCTGTGTCAGCAACTGGGGCCAAAGACCAAATATTAGAACAAAATGTTCTCTTACCTCTTCTCTATCAGGGCTTTAGCAGTTCTGGTTAGGAATTAGAGTCAGAGACCAGTTTATGTTTCTTATTTCACAATTATAAAAATATATCTGTACATAATTTACAGATGCTTGTAGAAGGCAGCCTTAATTTGAGTACATGTTACGTGTTGAAGGCTGGTTTACACATTATGCTATGAAACAATCCTTGTAAGAAATTATCTTTCTAAGGGAGAGCATACACAAACATGAGATTGAAGAATACTTTTTATAAAGAAAGAAGCCAACAAGGATAAGTTATGTAGTACAAACTGAACATATTCTGAGGTAGCCTCAAGTGAACAGACAGATGAATTTGATTTTGAATAACTACCTGGAGGAGGTGATTTCAAGTGTTTTGAAGGCGGGGTCCATGACTATCAAAAAACAAAACAAAACAAAAAAAACCATGAAGAACTTAGAGCTGAGTGCATATTGTTCCATGCATTGTGCAGGTTGTAAAGAAAGAAAAAGGTAAGTAGTGTGTAGGAAAAAAAATAGGTTAATTTTTCCAAAGCAAGAAATCTTAAGCTTGTGGTATAAGTAGGAAGAGAGGACACAGGACATGGTGTGATCCAGCAGATTGGAAGAAAATAGGGAAGGGATGGTGAAAATGAAAAGAGATACTAATAGAATGAAATCTATTGCCCTGAGATTCTCTGACTTACCTAGTGATTGAAAAGTCCTAGCAAACTAGATAAAAGCCAAGTTCAAAAATAAGTGATGCTGAAAACCAAGGTGGACCTCCATTTGAAAACAGAATGACCATTGCTCAAGTATTCTCTGTAATTTCTTGAGGCTTTTATCCCTACTGTAAATTTCTTTTAGTCCTGAACCACCATTTGAAAATAAAAGCTAGCTTGAATTTTTTTTTAATTTTTATTTTTTTATTATTCATATGTGAGCTAGCTTGAATTTAAAAGAAAAAAAATAAGCAAAAAGCTTTAGCTTTTTTGTGTAAAATTGTATTTTGTATTTTTCAGTGAGGTAGGTTTTCTGCTTTGGAAAATGACTCAGATTTTAAGCAGTAATTATTTAATCGAATTAGCAAAGATAATTTCTTTCTTCTTTCTCTTCCTTAAATCATTGCAAAAACTGTAGACTATTTTATTTACTGGCAAAGCTGAATATTTGCTCAAAAATGTATTACAGTTGTTGTTAGTAACCTCAAACATTTGCAGCCCAGGCCACCATGTGGTTCCTGGATTTTCAATATATATTACCAAAATTAATGGCTTTTAAGGATTACCATGCTGGTTTTATCTTACTAGTTTCTTGGCTCAAAGAATTTTAGTTTGAAAATAAAGATGTAAGTTGAAAACATTTAATATAGTGTTTTCTGATGCAAATCAATTTATTTCCATAAATATTCAAATATAGCAAAGAACATCACCCAGGAAGAGAGACTGCTATTTCATTTTTTACCTTGAATCCCAGTGTAATAAGTAATATTGTCAAATGTACGAATGGTGCTAAACTACCACTTATATGTCTCCAATTATTTTTTTCTACTCACATAAATATCATGAGTAGTAGCTTTGTGTGTATGAATGTATGTAAAGGAGAGGATGGAGGGGAAGGCAAGGAACCTGTCAAGGTAAAAAAACAGTATAAATTAGTTTGATAACCCAATTTAATACACCAACCTGACATTTTATTTGCAGTTGCTTATAATATGGAGACTGATCATCAGATAAAGATAGCTTTAAAGATATACCAACAAACAATGTAGGAAATTAGCTTTAGGAGAAAAGATTTTTTTAAATTATGTCATAATCCTTTAGGCTTACACATACGCACACACATACACACAAAATCTGTAACTGTCTTTTTTTTTTTTTTTTTTTGTGGTACTGGGGTTTGAACTCAGGGCCTAAACCTTGATCCACTCCCCCAGTCCTTTTTTGTGATGGGTTTTTTTGAGATAAGGCCTCACAAACTATTTGCCCAGGGTTGGCTTCGAACCTCAATCCTCCTGATCTCTGCCTCCTGAGTAGCTAGGATTAGAGGCGTGAGCCACTGGCATCTGGC